GGCATGATGAACGTGTTTGCGGAAATGAAAGCACAAGTGAGAGCAGTCGGATAAGCCGCGCTCGGTTAAGCTCCTGATGTGAAACTGAAGTTAAATAAACCAGTTAGTGTATGGTGGCACCTTGGGGTTAGGAGGAAGTGCAATTCTGTTCTCATGTATTTTGTAAATTGAAATGACAATAAAGTTGAACTAGATTTAGTCTCTATATACAGACTCTACATTCAGTGAATGTAGAGTCTGTAGGCAAACCTCGGAGATCTTGCCTCCAGAAGAAGAGCGGAAGAGCCCTGGTTTCCGGTTGTAGGCTGTTTGTAGTCTGCGTGATATTGACCAATCAGGTTTAAGCCGGCTGCAGTTGTTGCCAGGTTAAACGGTCCGTGCGGTGAACTAATGAGGCGGAACATAATTGGCGTCACTGCAAACTCTGAATCCATCGCAATGGTTCAGCATATTTACTTATATATAAACGGAAGTCGGAAACGGAAATTCGCCTCCTCCGCCCAAATCAAACCGGAATGCCAAAAAATCAGGGGTCTGCCCCCAGGGGCTGTATCGCCGTCTGCCGGAAGTCAAACACCGAATATAGCCGATGGGTTCCGAGACTGAACTAGATTTGACTTGAAGTTTGAAAATCCAATGATTATTTCAGTTTTTACAATTTCTGCTTGTGATAAATGGTGTAATTATGGCGATTTTTAAAGAAAACTTGCCTTCCTCACCATGTTTTCTTTAAAAATTGGCGGTAAAATAAATACAAAACACAGCCACTTAAAATTTGTACACCCCTCCCTGAAGCCAAAATAAAAAACATAACTCCCTCCTCAGTGCATAAAAATGATTTGATGTTCCTCCCGCTTTCTGCACCATCGCCTTCCCTCATAAATAACGAACCAGTCTCTAATCCCTCTCGTCAGGAAGTCTAAAAAGCCATTGTTTGACAGCCACTAATATATAAATCACTGTTATTTCCTCTAAAATGTCACAGTCATAATAACGGGGAAAAAGAAAATCCACTTTCATTTATTCTCATTATATCTCACAGCGTGGTCACACATGCATCTTTACTCAGGTACACAGAGTTTTCACACCTTTTGTGAACAGAATAATAAAATACCCACCTATGAAGTTTGTTCCTGCTGAACCATGAATGGTGAGGTAACACTAAGAGCACCTCCGCAGCGCAGCAGGATAAAACCACAATGTCAAATCTGACATGACTGTTCCATTAGAGTGTGCTCCAAATTGTCTCCAACGCAGCGGGTACGACAGCGGTGTCAGTAATTCTCGGGGAGTTGTCGTGACCCAAAAAAGAACTTCAACAAAGAGTCTTTGTATGTCTGCATCTGTCCGAGTCTCACAGGTAGTACACAAACATGCCCTCGTGCAAACACACAAACAGAGACAAACACAGAGGCATTTGTTGAAAGCTATTATTATGTGTGTGAGCACACTTTCTTTGACATATTCTCTGATCCTCTATTAGGCTTTTTTCTGCAGGCGCTTGAACGTGTGACTGTGTGTGTGTGTGCAGCGTGCATGAGCGTTGACAGTGCCAAAACAACATCTTTGCAGTTTGTATATGAGATTATTCTGTCTGAGGGTGAGATTGTCTCCATAGCAAAGAGTGGAGGCTGCCAGATCCAAGTTATTTTTGTCAGGTTTATTCTGCTGTATCAGATATTGGGTTTTATTTTTTAGGGATTTGTTCATGTCCGTGTTATTTTCACACTCTGAGCTGTTAATGAACTGACTTGCTGATTATGTAGCAGACACCTCAGTTAGTATAGGTGAGAGCAAAATGTTCACGTGTAGGTTAAATCCAGGGCAAGGCAGACATTAAGTCATGTCCTCAGTACCTTACGACAGCTTTAACTTGACAGAGCAGAATAATTGACAAAGCTATAGGAGATTGTTTGACATGGATGAATAAAGGCTGCAACAATGAACCCAATAGTTGCTCCCATGGTACATATCCATCCAGTACAACGATAATGGTGACAGATTTACCTCTCAAAATTCTTGGTCTGATTTTAGACAAAAGCAGCCGCTTTTATTTCTAGGCGGTGACCGCTGATTTAGTCGGCTAAAAAGACAACTTGGCAGATTTAAACAACTGTAGCTTGCTAGCTAATGTTAGCTCCACGTGTTGTTTGAAAAGGCTGTCTGACTTTTTAATGTTTCCTGCAGACTATTGAAAAAAACACAAAAACAATCTTGTATAGGATGTGACTTTTTGGCCACAAACACGATATTGTGCTAAAATACTGCGACCAAAGCTGAATGCATGGCTGGATACAGCGGTGGACTCAGGCTGTTTTCTAGCATGTAAGCTAGCCTATATGCTACTGCATCATGTTGTCTCCATTTAAGGGCACCTCATCATGTTTTGTTCACTGGACGGACACTCCAGGACTCTATCACATTCTGTCTACTGAAGAAGAATCCCAGAGAGTGTTTTCTCCACTGGAAGGGCATCCTACAGGGCAATTCATCACATTTACTCCACTTAACCTTAAGCCTAACCCTAGAGGGCACTTCATTACATTTTCCTTTTGAAGGGCATCCTACAGGGCAATTCATCACATTTACTCCATTTAACCTTAAGCCTAACCCTAGAGGGCACTTCATTACATTTTCCTTTTGAAGGACAACCTACAGGGCACCTCATCATGTTTTCTCCACTGGAAGGGCATCCTGCAGGGTGCTTCATCATGTTTTTTCCACAACATGGGTATCCTAGAGGGCACTTTATCATGTTTTCTCTACTAGAAAGACACACAGAGGACACGTCATTACATTTTCTGTTTGAAGGACAACCTACAGGGCACCTCATCACATTTTCTCCACTAAAAGGGCACCCTAAAGAGCACTTCATCATGTTTTCTCCACTGAAAGGGCATCCAGAGGGCACTTCATCACGTTTTCTCTACTGGAAGAGCACCCTAGAAAGCACCTTATCCCATTTTCTCCACTGAAAGGGCACCTTAGAGGGCACTTAATCACGTTTTCTCCACTAAAAGGGCACCCTAACGGGCACTTCATAACATTTTCTCCACAAGAGGGTCGTCATAAAGAGCACCTCATCACGTTTTCTCCACTGGAAGGGCATCCTGCAGGGTGCTTCATCACGTTTTTTCCACAAGAAGGGTATCCTAGAGGGCACTTCATCATCTTTTCTCTACTAGAAGTGCACACAGAGGGCACTTCATTACATTTTCCACTGGAAGGACACCAAGGAGGGCATTTCATCACATTTTCTCCTCTAAAAGGGCATCCTACAGGGCACTTCATCATGTTTTCTCCACTGAAAGGGCATCCTACAGGGCACATCATCATGTTTTCTCTACTGGAAGAGCATCCAGAGGGCACTTCATCATGTTTTCTCTACTGGAAGAGCACCCTAGAGGGCACCTTATCCCATTTTCTCCACTGAAAGGGCACCTTAGAGGGCACTTCATCACATTTTCTCCACTAAAAGGGCACTCTAAAGGCCACTTCATAACATTTTCTCCACAAGAAGGTCATCATAAAGGGCACCTCATCACGTTTTCTCCACTGGAAGGGCATCCTGCAGGGTGCTTCATCACGTTTTTTCCACAAGAAGGGTATCCTAGAGGGCACTTCATCATGTTTTCTCTACTAGAAGTGCACACAGAGGGCACATCATTACATTTACCACTAGAAGGACACCTTACAGGGCACCTCATCACATTTTCTCCAATAAAAGTGCACCCTAAAGAGCACTTCATCATGTTTCCTCCACTGGAAGGACACCAAGGAGGGCATTTCATCACATTTTCTCCTCTAAAAGGGCATGCTACAGGGCACTTCATCATGTTTTCTCCACTGAAAGGGCATCCAGAGGGCACTTCATCATGTTTTCTCTACTGGAAGAGCACCCTAGAGGGCACCTTATCCCATTTTCTCCACTGAAAGGGCACCTTAGAGGGCACTTCATCATGTTTTCTCCACTGAAAGGGCACCCTAAAGGGCCCTTCATAACATTTTCTCCAAAACAGATTCACCTCATCACATTTTCTCTGCTAGACGGCACCCTAGAGGGCACATCATCAGGTTTTTTTTTTCATTGCAAGGGAAATCCTAGAGGGCAAATAATCATGCTTTCTCCACTGGATGGAAACCCTAAAGGGCACTTCATCATATTTTCTCTACTAAAATGGCACACAGAGGGCACTTTTTTCCACTGGGTGGACAACCTAGATGGCACCTCGTCACAGTTTCTCCACTAAAAGTGCACTCGAGAGGACACTTCATCATGTTTTCTCCACTTGAAGGGCACCCTAGAGGGCACCTTAACATGTTTTCTCCATTAGAATGGTATCCTAGAGGCCACAACATGATGTTTTCTCCACTAGAAGGGCACCCTTCGGGGCACTTCATCACATTTTCTCCACTGGAAGGACACCCTAGAGGGCATCTCATCACAGTTCATCTAACCCTTCATCCCCTCCTGTTTTAAATGTAAAGCATCTTTGAGAGCTGTAAAAGCGCTATATAAATAAAATGTATTATTATTATTAACATAGGTGCTTCCAGAGGGCTCTTTCTTGTGAACATGTGATAGCATCCAGGACTGGCTTCTACACAGTGGGGAAACACTACACAGTGTATGAGCTGATGTTAGTGAGGGCTAATGATGTAATTAGGCATTAGAGCTGCTACTATAAGCTAGTTAGGTGGACACGCTAATGATATCAACTTACGCTACAGCAGATAAGCACCCTGTTTAATGCACTTATTTCACTGTTGCTTGTGTGTTTTTGGTTTTGGAAAAGCTACATAAAGACACTGTTCTATAACCTCAGGGAGAAAGTGCTGCTGTAATTACAGCCCCATACACACGACTCAACCTGTTGAGAAAACCAAAGCTTGACAGCTCTGCCTAATTAACGGTCCCAGTCCTGATTGAAAAATCATTGTCTGGGGGAGGGGGTGTAAAAAAAATGATCAATCACATTGTGTTTCTGTTTTTTTAAATACAAATACATTATTCACTCTGCATATGTTTTATTAATGCTGAGTGCCATTTGGATCTCACCTCCTTCTTCTCAGTTTGTGCTGTGAACTGAAAACGATTTTTGCAACAGATGACTCACAGATATAATATTCTTACAACCATTGGAAATCATCCTAAAAAATCACAACAACCCTGAAAAATATTAGAACATATTTTGTCTCTGTAGGTTTGCCAGGTTGTCGTTTTACACCAGAGACAGTTGTCTCTCTGCTCCTGTCCTCTGGATATCAGACATTCATAATGCAAATATACCAAAGCTCAGCTGCTGACGTCATGTGTGTAGCCTGGAGGATTCTCATCCTATTATTTCCTCTCAGATACATTTACAAAGAGAATGAAGATGCCTATACACTCATATATAGTGTCCACAAGTCCTCCTCCAGCTTGGCTGCTTGCAGGCTTCACTGAAGTCAGTTGCTCGGCAGGCAGGTTAAGAGCAATCTCTGTCTTTTGTCCTTTTTGTTTAATGCACTTGAATCCACACAGCAAGAAAAACATATAAATCAAATAATAAGCCCTGGAACGACTTGATTCACTGCATTTATATCGATACCAAACACCTACAGGCCTGGGCAACATCAGGGTGTGAAAATGTCCTTGTGTCTGAGCTTGTGCTCGGATATTGTGCAGCAAACGCCAAAGTAAACAGCAGTCTCACATAAAAGGTTTCATCTCAGACTCTGAACACCATCCATTCAGCTCCGGATAGGCCTGTTTGTTTTGTAATGAGGCCTTTGGGGTTTTTTTTTGTTTGTCTTCTATTTGTCGTGATAATGAATGAAAGCAGTGCCAAGATGGGAGCTATTGAATGGTTTATGATATGGCTGTGAAATTATTGTCTAAGTCATGAATGGTGTGAATGAGGCTGCCATTGATTGCCTAATTGGAAAATCATGTATTATGCATTAAAGGTAAACATCCATTTATCTTTGAATTGTTTCTACCTGACACAGCGCTTTATGTAATAACTGCTGTTAGACATGAAACCGAGAAACACCCATTTTATTAAAGCTATTTTTATGTCGGACACAGTTTGGATGTGGGCAGAATCATAGTGAGGATTGTAAAGTACTACAGATGAGTGGAAGTTGTGGTTAGGTGTGAAGTGGCATATAGTGCATCATGTTTTTAAGGCTTAGATACAAGGGCTCTAGGCAGGCTTTTTTATCACCATGGAAACTGAACTCCTCACAGGAAGAACATTCCGGCACACTGAGCCTGGTCCAGATGTGAGACTCTAGCAATCTATCATGCATCATTCATGTAGCCATGTTCTCGACGGTAAAGGGGCTGAGATGGCAGCTGCCGGGGGGTCAGCTCGGAGAGGATGAATTACGCAGTCATGAATTCAGTCTCGTGAACCACCTAAATCTTCTTTTCCTCCATGAAGCCAGTCCTCAGAGTCAGTTTGTCTTTACTTGTCTCATCTTCTCAGCTTTCTGTGTCCTTTTTAAAGGATTCATGCTGTTTCCCCCTATCTGTCCACGCTCGTCTCTGCCAGCCTATTGTTCATGATGCCAAGGGCGCCCACCCCTCCCGAAAACCCGTTCTGACGTGAACTGGAGCCGGACTGGCGCGGGTGCCCAATGGCCATCTCTGAAAGCTGCTTCTGCATAATAGCCAGATTCACCTGCAGGACGGGAAAGAGAGAAAGAGATCAACATAAGGAAATGTTTGCAGTCTGTGTTTGGAGGCGGTACATGCAACCGGTGAAGCCTTGTGAAACAAAGATTAATACAATGTGTTGGCGGTCGGCACATCTGATTTCACAGGTGTGATATGAGGCTACCAGATGGTGCGCTTCCTCTCCTCTGGGTGCGTCGATTTATGTGAACAAAGAAGACAAATACTGAACAAGTGTGACAGACAGAGAGTGGATATTTACTCTCCCACACATCAACCTTAGGCTTTCATTTTTCACTCCACAAAGCGACGTGGAAAAAACTCCTGTGTAATCCTGTTTTACATGAGTTTAGTCAATATTTCAAATAGACAGAGCAGTTTTATGTTTATCTTAAGCCACACTTAAATCATGACCTGAGGGATGTTGATCCACCATTTCGATCCAGTTTGAACTATCAAAATATTATAAATATAAATATAATAAATAAAACAGCTCTCAGATGGATTTCCATGAACGCTGGTGCAGACATACACAAAATCCCCAAGTGAGAGAAGCCTCCTTACTTTGGTGATCCCCTGACTTTTACTCTGACGGCACTCTGAGTTTGACATTTTTCATTTTTAGTGAAATGCCTGAAAAAATATGAGACAGATTGCCATGAAATTTGCTATAGACCTTCAGGTTCTCCTCAGGATGAGTTTTAATAACTCTGATGATTCACCTGATATTTCATCCAGCACCATCATCAGGTGAAAATTTAAACTAATAATCCTGAATGTAATTTAAATAAATGTCATTTAAAGGTCCTGTGTGTCGGATCTAGGGGGATATATCAGCAGAAATGGAATATAATAAGTGTGTTTTCTTTAGTGTATAATCACCTGAAAATAAGAATCATTGTAGGGCTGGGCAGTATGGCCTAAAATCAATATCACGGTATTATATTGGGGGGATGCGGTGACAGTATGATATCGCGGTATTGTCTTCTCTCTTTTTTTTACACCTTAAATAAAACAATTTAAAAAGCCATACAAGTCTAGGATGGAAACTATTCATTGTCAGAAGTAAAACGGTTGCTAATCCATCTATTATTGTGTATAAAACGTTATATAGTATGTATAAACGTTAGAGGGAAAAGGGAGGGCTGGCGGCTCCCGGGCCCCCTTCTCCTGCGGGCCTGGGTTTGGTGCGGTCGGCCAGGCCACCTCCATCACGTAGCGAGGGAGGTGTGTGAGGCCGGCTGGCCGCCGGGCCCCATTCTGCCGCTGTAGCCGGAGTACTGCAGTATGAAGGTAACGTTAATCACAAAAGCAGCGGCTCATGTTTACTGCGTTAAGTTACCGTCACCGCGAATACCGCCCAGCCCTAACTGAGGCAGGTGCGATGACATCATTGACAATAGGACGGTAGAGCGCAAATCTCTACCATGGGCCAAATTTATATCATTTCTACCGTCTACCGCATATACCGCGTAGCCCTAAATCATTGTGTTTACGTTAACTTAGAATGACATTTATATCTACGTAGCGAGCGGGTCCTTGTCTGCAGAGGTTGCCATGTTGCACTGCCATGTTTCTACAGTCGCCCAGACTGGACAAACCAAACACTAGCACACTAGACACTAAACACTAGATAGGGACATTCAAGTTTTTTGCGTCGGCCACTGTGGCTAGCAGCCTCTCCATGACAAGAGTGTTAGAAACACTGATTTCTAACATGAAACAATTAAATTCAGCATTTTTACCAGTTTATCTCCAGGGGTCTCGTTTATAACCATTGTGTACGCACAAAACGAGACACATTTTGGAGAGGGGAAATTTGCAACACAGGTGGTGAGCATTTAACCGTTGAAACTCCACTTGACTTTTATTATAAAAGGGTCACAGGAAATGCAATTGTTTTTCAGTGAGCTCATTACTTAATGCCATCATTCAATGAATGTCTACAACAAGGCAACAGTGAGTGGGGATTGACTCCCTCTTGGAGCCAGCCTCAAGTGGCCATTAGAGGAACTGCAGTTTTTGGCACTCCACATTGGCTTCATTTGTCATCGTCATTTGATACTTATTAGTGTGAGGTAAAATGAGTTTAGTGTGTGCAAAAATGTTAACATGCTAACTAAAGATGGTGAACATAGTAAATACCTGCTTAGCATTAGCCTAGCATTAGCATGTTAGCATTGGCACTGTGAGCGTGTTAACATACTAAATTTAGCATGTAGCTCAAAGTACAGCCTCATAGAAGTGCTGGCACAGCTGTTCAACAAAAACAATTCGCTTTAATACTAAAACCAACAGATTTAATCATCAATCAGTAATTTCTCTTTGGGTTTATAGTGGTAATTATCATTTTGTCACTCCTACAAGTTGAACCCGTACCTTAAAAAAAATAATTTGGATGCTGATTCACCTCAAAGGGTAACTGGTTTATTTTAACCTGGAGCCTATTGTTCCACACACATTTTATGTCAAAGTGACTAATAGGAACAGAAATCTTTGAAACTGGTCCAGTATTGAGTGAAAACAAAACAGGCTACAGAATCACCACATGGGGCAATTGAGCACCATCAATTTACGTCCAACAAAATTCAGATTGTTATTCAAAGTTTCTGACAACATTATAGACAAGATCCTTACAGAGATAGACCTGTTTGTATGAGAGTAAGATCCTGTTTGTTTAACCAGAAACAAACCCCCAATTCACCATCGCCAAACCCACCAGACCCCATTTAAAAAATCTGTAATTTTATCATAGTAAAAGACGCTTTATTCAAAGCAAAATAAAATAAAATACAACACACAAAAGCCATCTTGGTGTGTCAATTTCACTGTTCCAACAATCACCAACACTGGTTTGGTTGAAATAAACCCCGAATTTATCCAGTTAGATGTGAAAACATGCTGTCTCTATACACACTAAAATTACAGGTTTTTTTAAATGTAGTCTGGTGGGTTTGGCTATGGTGAATTGGGGGTTTGTTTCTGGTTAAACATTTAGTATAATATTTTGATCCTCGTAGTGACCAAACAAGCACTTTTAGTGGATGTAAACGGATGGTGTACAATTGCCCCAAGTGACTACTTTGCAGTCTGTTTCACCACTGCTATGTGGACCAGTGTCAGAACCTGTTGTTCCCTTTAGTCACTCAGACACAAAAACATGGGAGAACTTGGTCCAGGCTAAAAACATACAGATGTTACCCTTTAAGTTCATTTTAAATGATTCTTAAAGCTGAAATGACCTCATAGTCATTTAACTGCATAACGATGTTACATCATTGTGCTGAGGACAACTCTGAACCGATGACCTCACCTTCAGTCTAGACTGAGCAGAGACTCTGTAAAGATGACTCAGCGTGTGGAGATCCAAGGATTCTCCCACCCTGTACACTCACACTTGTATCTGCAATGAAATAACTTCTTCATACTGAGTGTATGTTAAGGCGTAACAAATTTCAACTTCATGTTGCCACTTAAGTCCATGTACAGATTATCAGTGTCCAGCTGTTCCTGATTGAAAATGATAAGGTCACTTTAAACACCGAGCTGCAGCAACATACTAACTCCTCTGTGAAATGTCTCCGTCTCTGCCTCCACCCCTCCTCTTCCTCTCCGTCTCTTATTCGTCTTCTTAAGCACAATATGTACAAAGACACTTTGTCAGACTTTATGTGCTGTCCATTCATGATGTTATCAGCCAGTTCTGACGCTGAATTAAACTGTGGACAAGTTATTCTTTTAATCCAGAGGAGGAAAAGCCACATTGTGTCGGCTTCTGTAAGTATTGTAAAGGTCAAATCTTTTAATCAGCGTTATGATGTAGAAAAAACAAAAGTCTGCACACATGCTAACAGCTCTGTGAGGCTGTACTGAGGCACAGCTGTGCTCTGAGCTAAATGCTAATGTAGACATGCTGACGTGCTCACAATGACACAGTTGATATGCTGATGTTTAGCAGGTATAATTAATCTTTGTTCAGTTTGTTGACAGTTGCTAATTAACACACAAATAATGAACACAGTAGAGAAGTTTGAAAGTACCATTAACTATTTTATGCCTTGCACTAATTTTGTGATACTAAAGGGCGTCCATTGAAATGCATTACAGAAAGTCAGTTTAGTTGGGTTTTATGAGCTTTTTCTGAGATTTGAATTTTAAAAATGGTCAAACGGTGTGCATGGGGTACATGCAACTCTGACACAAGGTATCCTGAGAGGCTGGGCGACCAGGTGTATTTTTACACTTTAAACCACATCTCAACCGAGAAAAGTGTCTCCTTTGGATAAAGTTGTGTGGTAACGTTAGACCACAATATCAACTCAACGTGAATAAGATTAACAATGATGTCTACATCTGTTCTAAGGTAAGTCAACATTGTGTTTGAGGCAACATATTGTCACTTTGCTGGAAAGAAATATAAAGTTATCTTTAACATCTCTAGCTAACGTTAGCTAAAGTTAGCCTAACGTTAGCTCCTAGCTGCGTTGTTCATCATGTCACCTTGTTTGCTGGGAGTTCATTAGCCTATTTTGTTCTAGTTTTGTACTTTGGTGATCGTACATCATTGTTAGCTGTTGTCCAAAGGGCTCTAGTTAAGCTAACGTTAACTTCTGGAGCTTAGCTTCATTAACTTATCTGTAATGGCAGAGATAACAAAGGTTGGCAAACGTTATGCTGAATGATTCAGTGTAAATACTGTAGCACCAAACTAACGGAGAGACACTCTTGGTAAAGATGGTAAAAAGGCCGTTATCCTTTTCTCATATTCTGAGCCAAAAACCTTAACTTCAGTGGCACTTTAACTTGTTGTCTTTGATGGTGACGGCAACGAGATGCGGTTCACAAGCGTACACTGTGACCTGTAAATTTTGGCTTGTAATTTAAGCTTTTCATCGATCTTCTCAACAATAAAATGATGAATATATCCCTCCAATGTGTAGTTTAGGCCCTTTTGGTTACTTCTCAATGACATCTGATCGTTACCTCTCCAAAAATCATCAACTGCCTCCTGCGAAATGCCGTGTACTGTGACACCTGCCATAGCGCCGGTCACTGTTGATAGTTTGTCCGAGTGAGTGGAGGGGGGCGTGGCTTAGCCACAGGTCAATTGAGCCCCCGCCCCATTGCCCTGCTGCTCAGCTTTCATAGTAATTTTGTTCCCTACACCTGCATCATCATCTACATGAGATTTGTTTGTGTCATTTCTCCAGCAGTGATACTCATCTTACGGCCTGTGGGCCAAATCTGGTCCCCACCCGTGTTGGGTGGCCCCCCAAATCATTCTCTATTTCACAGTGAAATCAAAGTCATTCACACTAGGAACATTTTATGTACTTTTATGCATTAAGCTGCTTTCACACAGCTGCACGGCAAACACTCTAACAACCTGAAACACTTTTAAAGAGGCTCCTTCTGCTACGGTCCAGGGTCATGATGATGAGCAGGTGCTTGGTGAGCATCACTGACAGAGGAGCTCTAGCTCTTGATGCTATGTAAATAACAGCATACTGTAGCAAGACAACAGAAATCACTGAAATGACCAAAGATTTTTACATATTTGGACAATTTTCCACTCATCTGAAGTTTGGTGGAAATGTCATTACATGCCCAGTTTTTCTTCTGGATGTCATATTAAGTTGCACTGTGTTGTACAACTCCAGTTTTTCAGGCACCAACATTATCAGCTCCTCCATCTTGTCGTCTTTCTGTTGCCAGGATGTCCACCCCCCTCTGTGAATTTGTTTAAAGCCAGCTCAACAGATGAACTCTGCAACGCAGAGCAAAATTTGTGTGTGTTATCTGGGCGGCAACTGCTTCATACCCCGACTGCCATGTTTGAAACCACTTCTCAGCATAAAAATAGAGCTTGTTTATCAAAATAAAGTGCAGGGGGAGGATCCCCTGACAGATATCTGGGCTGAGCCCCGGATGTCCTCAAGTCCTACAAACACCCTTGCGTACGTGTGTAGCTGCTGACTGGACCCTGGGCAAAACAAGGTGAGCATCCCTGTCTTACAGTGTAGAGAAGAGCGGCAATCGCCAGGTCCCAAGCTCACATTATGGAGTCGACCTCTGCATTATGCCCACTATGGATTATATTTTGGAGCCAATGTCAATAAAGACCCTCTCACCTGCCTTCCTACTTCATCACACATGGTCGTGCATTTCAGAAGATGCGATCAGAGCGTGCTTCAGAGAAGACCGGAGGCGTTAAGCAATGCCATGGCACCCATACTTGCTGACTGCAACTTGAATTAAAAAGCAGTTCACTACCATGTTTTGGTACAGTTGGTTCTCACACATGATGCCAACTGTACCCAGGTACACATGAACTATACTCAAGACCACCTTTTCAAGGGTACTCAGACACAGATCAGCGTACTGTGCCTATGTACGGTACACTGTGTTCACACTAAGCAAAGGAACTGGACTTTGTGGTCACTTGTAAATCTGGGCCTGGGTCCCTGATATGAAAGTCTCCTAAAATGAGCTGGTCTAACAGAATGAGGTCAAATGGCTATGACCTCTTAACTTCCACCTCTTAATGCCGTGGTGGTCGGACAAAATGAGTACAAATGACATGCGCCATGTAAAACCAAAAGTCAGCATTAACTTATTGTAACTTTACACACTCACATCATGTAATGTGACGTACTTACCTGATGTTACGTGATGTACTTAGGTATGTAATAAACGTACTTATTTTAAGCGAAACCACAACCTTTTTCTAAACCTAACCAAGTGGCTTTGGTGCATAAACTGAACTAAACTGTGACTATTTCATAACGTTAACCACCTTTTTAAAACTGGGACAGTTCTGGCCTGTATTTTTAACACATTACGTACCACTGCCAAATGAGATGGTGTTGAGAAGTCGTGGTCATTTCACTTATTTCTTTGAGATCAGGTTTTACTAAAACTGTGATTATAATACATTATAGTTTAATAAATGGTCATCTAGGAGGTTACGTAAGATGTTAGTGGTTCATAGTAGCACGTTCACACATTTTAGGTTTTCAGTTCAGCGCCTAAGATCATGGTTTTACACCAGTTTACTCATATCCTTGCCACAGCATCACACCAGTTAGTCTTCCAATTGTCTCAGTCAAAATTTCCAGGCTGTTTAATCAGAAGAATCATCAGGCGTGAAAAATTCAGATTTTGTTTTTCCAGTTTAGAATAATCCTGCGGTTAGTGAGCACGGTTTTGACATTCAACAGTTCACACTGCTCATTCGTCTCGTCTGAAGAGTAGCGTGACAGTTATGTAAATGTATGGACATCTGATACCGCTGAGTGGCTTCGAGGGCTGTTGAAGGGGTGATAGTAATGCAGTCAGGCCATTGGTATTCAGAGACTTTTACACATAATATGAATGAAGCCTAGAAAACAACAGCAGATCTGTGAACGAAACTACTGCTCACCGATATGTGTACACAGGAAGTCCTTATCAAAATATTAATCACACCATGTCATCAAACATTTCATTCTATTTAGACAATAACTTTGATGATTTAAAGGGACAGTGTGTGAGATTTAGCAAACTGTAACCAACTGACACTGCTCTTGGTCATAATTCCTTCAGCGTTCATTGTTCAGGAGGTTTTTACCCGAAGCTGAATTTTCCACAGAGGTCTCTTCCTCTCCAAAACAAACGAACCAGGTGATTTAAACTCTTAAAAACACTGAATGAAGCAGTTTTACGTTACAAATCCGGTGCTGTTTGGCATGTCGGAGATGGACCGTTATCCCAGCACTGCTTATGTGTGCTCACCTTTTTTCTTTAATAAGTTAGGATCCAGTTGTTCAAGAGGTTATCAGAAGTCGAATTTTCCACAGAGGTGGAAATTCTGTGTTTTTCCAATGCTGTTAGGCAGGCAGAGGCTGAAGCCAAGCTACCACTAACGTTTGTTCAGCAAAATCATGAAAGGCCCATTCTAGAGCCAGTGTTTGGTTTGTCCTTTCTGGGCTACTGTAGAAACATGGTGGTGCAACATGGCAATCACCGTAGACAAGGACCCGCTCGCTATGCAGATATAATCAGCTCATTCTAAGGTAAAGAAAACATGATTCTTGTTATGGGTGATTATACACCGACACAAGCACAGATACTGCTTCCACCTGCTTCTTTGTTAGCTCCACTAAATTTGTGCTAAATTTGTGCTAAATTTAGGCTCTTATGTCTGTTTTGCAAGTGTTGGTGGAACTTTTTGTGGTTGGCATTGGACAGTGTTGGCTGCACATCACTCATCAGGATGAGAAAATCAACTCACCAGTCTCTAAATTCTCCTGCTGACTTTTAGCTAGCTAGCTAGCAGCTAGCTAAAAGTCAGCAATGTAATCTCAGCAATGTGATCTCAATGTAAACATCGAGAAAAAGATGGTGAAGATGGTCACCAGCTGAACTGGCATCCTGGTAGCCATTGTACAGGCGTTAGAAAATAAATTGTACCACATGAGTTTCTAACTGGATATCAGGAACTGTAATGTCCTGGACAATCCTGGAATCCTAAAAAAACTACAGCTACAAACTACAGTTAATGACTACAGTATGCATGACCACAAGAAAGCAAGATTTTTAACTGATGGTCCTTTCTGCTACTCACATGAATAGGTTCATCAAATTACTGTAGGAGGTAACTGAATTGAATATCTTGTGTGTTATAAAACATGTGATGACATCAGCCAGGTGCAGCCGGGAAGTTCTCACCTTGTTTGCTGCCAGGAAGTCCCTCATGGAGATCATCTCCCCAGACATCCTGCGCCCAGTGTCAGTCTCGCTCTCGTTGATGGCGTCTGTCTCGATGGAGGGGTCCCTGCGGGCACGCAGGTGGCCCGGGGCCACCACGTTCCGTCGAGGGTGCCGGTGCGGGTGGTGACCCCTCCTGGGGAAACAGCAGCGGCAGGGGGCCTCCAGCCTCCTCAGCAGCCAGTTGAGGACCTGCTTGATGACGATGGAGATGACGTTGAAAAGGGAGTAGATGCAACAGACACCAGTCAGGATGAAGAAGAAGTTGCCCACTCGATATGCAGCTGTGGCGTGGCCCTCGTAGACAACCCGCTGGCTGCTCACCATGTCTCCAAAACCGATGGTACTGAAGGCCACAAAGCAGAAGTAGAGTGAGTCCAGGTAGCCCCAGCCCTCGGCTGCCGAGTACATGAGTGAGGCGCAGCAGGACACCAAGATGGCTGCTGCTCCTAATATGAGCATGACGCAGTAGACCGAAGGCTTCCAGCCGGCCAGATCCTCTCCTTTCCCTCCTCCACTCCCCCCCGCTCCGCCTGCTCTGTTCCCCTCAGACACTCGCCGGCCATTTGGTGGGAATACAGCTTTGTGATGGCGTCGCTCGTGACAGGACTTGAGGACGACAGCGATGACGGTGATGACACGTTCCAGAAAGAGGTTGAAGAAGAGGATGGTGGCCGCGCAGCCCAGCAGGCCGTAGAACATCAGGAAGACTTTCCCTCCAATGGTGGCAGGAGTGGTCATCCCAAACCCTGAGATACACACAGAAACAGTGGTGAGCAGAAACTGCACAGAAATACAGGAAGTGTAACATGATCAAATGAACGAACACTAAAGCAGGATTTATAAAACCTACAGCTAAGACTCTGTGTTGATACGTAACCCACACCATGGCCTGACGTGCACCTCTCCAGAAATGTATTATGTATTATCATGTCGCTGCGGCGCAGACAACATGATCTGACACATGGAAGTAGCTACATGCCCAATAGCCACTTAACACAATCATTACTGCTTTGCCGACAGCGTCATTAACAGGCGGCTTGCTCTGTGTGTGACGTGCCCTTGTAGATAAAATATAGGCCTATATTAATGAAGGGTGCTTTTACACCTGCCCTGTTTGGTTCGGTTCAGTCGAACTCAAGTTTGTTTGCCCCCTAAGTGCGGTTCCTTTGGGCAGGTGTGAACACAGCAATCACACTCAGGTGCGCACCAAAACAAAACGGACCAAGACCTTCTTGAAGAGGTGGTCTCAGTCCAGTTACAAAGGAACTCTGGTGCGGTTCATTTGTGGTGAGAACGTGTGCCGACCTGGATGTGAACCAACTGCAGTCACATGACACATTGTTTGGGTTAAACATGAGCATGTTACAGTCCTGGAGGATTTTTAATGTGCACCTCCTCCTGTACTGCCTTAATATGCACATTCAGCACATCCAATGCATCAAAACATTGTTTTCTAGTTGGAGCCGCGCCTCGTTTTCAAACTGTATGGTTTGACTAAAATGAACAATGACAGCAATATAGTCCACGATGAGCAGCGCTAAAATCATCCTGCGTAGTGTACTCTTCTTCAACGTTTGCCTTCTCCCATTCTCCCGCAAGGCATTTGATCTGGTCTGCTTGTAAATGCTGCCGTGAGAACACGAACCAACTCTAGACGACTCTAGGTCTGAAAGCACCCAAAGGTCCATCAGTACGGCTTTGTATTTCTCTGTAATGTAGCACAGTGATAACAATGTTACTGATACTATTCTTTCCCACACCTTCGACTCAAACCACCAAAATATATATATATCATTTCATACTTAAATTGATATTGTTACCATTCAGGTGACTAGTCGACTAATGGCCCTAAATAAAGACAGTTGGCAACTAGGAAAACTAGTCGAGGGGAGCCCTAGAATTACATTGACGTACAGTGTTTTCAAATATTGCTCCGTGTGCTTTTTTGACATCCAGCATCTGCCCGTCTGAAGGTCTCTGCACAACGGTGATGTAAATACCGGGTACAAACAGTCTTTAAAGGAAGTTGTCATTTACAGGATAAAGTGTCTCTGAATAGAAGGATCGAATAAAATGTTTATTTTACATAAAAGCATTACTATCACTTAAAAAACACTTAATGCCCCCATTTTGTTGCCCTCACACACACACACACACACTTTACAAATAAGTAAATAAATGGATGATTTGTAGTGCTTCCATTTTCTCCAGCTGCTTTTAAACCAAACTACATCTTCTCTGTCATTAACACTGATGGCTAATTACAATCGCCTCTTCTGCTGAGGGAAAATTACACTCACACCACTACCTCGGTCCTCTGGGTTGCCATTGGTGACGCTCACTCCTCTCTGTGTCGCTGTCACCCGCTCACTTTAAGAGCTGAGGTGTTTTCAGAGCGAACCCATCATGGCAATCAGTCTCAAAGTGTCAGTTTGTCTAACATTTCACTGGGAAAAAACCCACCGGGGCCACTTCACGTCTCAATTGTATCATTTTCTTTTATTTTACAGGTAAGAATCCAATAAAGTGGTTTTGCTCTGAGGGGAACTGAGACGCTGTCAGGGTTTGACTTCTCTTTTGTCTCTTGTGAACTGACAGTTGAACAAAATCAGAGTCAAACTGAGAGGCCTTTCCATCAACTGCACCCATCTCAGAGATGTCTCCTTATCACCCCTCATTTAACACTGAAGCTCAACGATCCGTCTCCTCTGGGTTTTATAACATTGTTCAAGATCTGAACATGTGCTGTAATCTTTATGGCGATCACGTAGTTACATGCACCGTGTTCTGTGGGGTACAACAGCAGCTGTAAAATCTTTACAACATGAGAGCCCTCTTCACCGGAAAAACACAGATAAACGTTGCTGTATCTCACTTTATGAACACTCTGAGGGTTTAATTGCCTCCACATTCAGATTTGTTCTCAAGGTGCTAATTGAGCTGGAGTTTTCTTCTAAATGAGACGTTAAAGCCAAATGGGATGGATTTTATGGATGTGTTTTTGTTTCCTCGTTGTTTCGTAAGCTCAATTAAATGTGATGTTGATGAGTCCTTTAACCTGTGTCATAAATAAAAATAAAAGAGAAAACAGTGTCGTCTGTGTCAGGTGTAAAAGCTCTCAATGGTGTTAATGGAGGTGCTGGGTTTGGCTGCACAGTTCTGACTTTTCCCTCCCAAATGCAACCTCAGTCATTTAAAAAAACAAACACTCAAAGCTGAAGAGTGGTGCAGAACAAGTCATTAAACCTGCAAATGAGTCAACACTTTTGCACGCCCGGCTCCCTCATATCGAAGTCAGTGGGTTTTTGGTTAGATAAGGTCTGTGGTTAACACACATGGTTTCCACTTGCCTGCGAAACTCCTCCCCTCCATAATGTTTCGGTCTGGAATTTGCCACAAGTTTGTTAAGAAAAAAAACTTTTGCAGTGGATTTCGGAGAGACCGTATGACATTGTGCTAGCTTAGCTAACAGACTGCTAACTAACAGGCTATTCCCTTCAATTTAGCTGCTTGAGTTTGTCAAGTGAGTTTGTATAATTAAAAAGAAGTTGTTTATCTCTTTTTAACACATTGTGAATCTGAGTAATGTTTATCTGCTAAAATATGGTTACACAATATACATAGTCAGATTGTCATAATGGCTAGTTTAGCCATTAGTTCATACCATGTACTTGGTCCTGTTTTTGTCCCTGTAATGTTCAAAGCACATATTTCAAACAACTGGATGGCAAAAAATGACAAAATTAGCCCCTCCCCCATGTCTACAGGTAGTTTCTATCCATCTGTAAAGAAATGCACTTCGTTGCGTTGGACACTAGAGGCATCATCTGTATATTTATGGATCTACAGACACCAGTCACATATGCAAGCGGCAACGAGGCATTAGAGATTTCACGTTTTGCTTTACAACATAAAATACGTCAGTGAATACTCCACGAAGCTTACGTGCTTTAAAAAAGAAGGTTGCTAACATGTGGCTAGATACGACTACAAAACAACATCACGCCGAACACGGCTTTTCAGCCTCGTTGTGGTGGCAACACTTAAGTCATGCGGCTGTAGTGTCACGTTAGCGTTTTATTGCTGACGACTGCATTCACACTGCAAAAATGATAAAAATGGTGTTAATCTACAAAGATCATCCAGCTGAACAAAGCATGCAAGAATCATTAATTATGTTTGCCAATGAGTTTATTTCTGCAATAATCCAAAATCTAACGCAAAATCCTGTTTTGCCGAGGGAACCATGGTGAGACTTATGTACGAAGAATCAGGCAATTTTGGTTATGGAAGTGTTCTAGTTTTTGTTTGTAGTCTGAGTAGTATTGCCCAATAACAATATACAGCAGGTAAATGGTACGCGCCCTTGGCGTAAGGTAGTTACAGTGGCTCCCAGACGGGCCCCAGTGCATGCTAGTTGCTATTTATGCACCCAAACTTGTTTCCGTGTCATCTTATCATCTTGTCACATGATCAAATGGAGACATGACTTTGTATCTAACATACATATTACCCTTAGATCATTATAGTGTATACGACAATAAATAGATAGAGAATATTTATTTAATATTTTTTGTAGCTTATTCATAGTTTATGTAGAATAAACAGATATTTTATAATGATTTTTGTTATAGATTGCTACTGACTATTTTACGATAAAAAATAAAAACATGGCACAACACAGGCATCTATAATAATAAACAAAAAAATAATATATTTTAATTATAATGCCCTTTTCATCAAAAGATCTCAAAGTGCTACAGGTTAAAAACAAAGAAGGATAAAAAAGGAATGGAAGAGAATAAAAACAAGATGAGCAGTTATTTAAAAGGTTATAGGTATAGGTATAGCCTAGAAAGCCGCACTATTCTTTTAAATTAAAAACAGGCATATAAGGTGGCAATCTGAATTATTCCCAAGGCCCTTGTGCCCTACGTATTGTTGGAGAGTCCACTCTCTCTGTGGGCCACAGTGCAAACACCCTGCCTGTACTGTCTGTATTTAAGCCCCTGGCAGTGGCTGAAATGCATCCCAAAATCTATGAACTATCGTCTGACAACGACTTGGCATCATATTAGATTTCTAAAAAATGTACTTGCATTCAAATGCAGGTACGACTGGCACATGGGAGAGGGAGTCTTGGCCCAAATATCCAATATTGGATGTTTCTTTCCAGAATGCACCTTTTACCAACACAAGCCTGTAGCTTCGACTTTTTTCTAATCAAAAGAACAATTTTTTCTCTAACACAACTGTTAATTAGATGATTTCTGTGCTGCTCCAAGCTACAGATGTGCTCCAACTGTGGGTCTTTTTACTTCAGAACCCAGGGTCATGAGCACATACATGTGCATATGTTCTGACCACGCATACACATGACAGATGCATTGCGCTCTTGCACCTTTCAATGTATTCATTCAAGCTCTGACGCACACAGCGTTACTCTCACTGAGGATACAAAAGGATGATGTGTTTGTGAGGGGCTTTCCTTCAAGCTTTATACAACCTACTTCAACGACTGAGAGATGAGAGTGTTGGATGAAAAGATGAAAACCATCAAGAAGAATCACTTAGATTAATGACAGCTGACATAAAATACATAATAGAAAATCTCTGATTGTTCACTTCAGCCAACAGGATATAATCACTCACAGTATCTCTACAGGAGGTCACAGAAATGAACAATCCCATGATTTTATAATGTATCTGTCCTTTATGAGATGAGAGATGAGATGCAGTCTTGATACAGTTATAGATCAGCAGACTACACCGTCATAAGTTCCTCCTGGACCTCATGGTAGTGCCATCAATGCTGTCTGCATGCCTTATTTAATCTCACGCAGAGCAGTGTTGATCTAGTCTAAGACCCTGATCACACAGAAAGTGTTTTAGCAGCTGGAGGTGCCTTTTTCTAATTGTTTTTAATGAGAATTAAGCTTTTTTTTCGCTGTTTTTGTGTTGCTACGCACCTCGTATTTCTGTGCTCTGGGTGCCTGGCACCAGAGCACTCTGAACTCCTCAAGTTGAAAAAACTTCAACTCAAAGTGGAAAAGCACCCCACATCATCTCCGCTTTTTTCCCATTGGCCACTTCTGTGGTGATCACGACAACAAGTTTACAGTTGGTAAACAACATTTTTGTTATGCTAAGCCCACTGATAGACAGCAGGTTGTCAAACTGCCCCTGAGTCTTCCTAAAATTTGCCTGTAAACGTCCATTATGGAGGAGAAGCTTCTGGACCAACTGGTGGTACTCCCCATGATCCAGCCTCTTTTTTAGGGTCTCATGTACCCACACAGATCTCTGTTTATCTGCTGACAGCCTCTCACCCTCAACCAGAGCTACACACAGTACCCTCTGCCTCAACATGTCAGGAGCTACACACTGATCATTGTGGACAGAAAAAAAAAAAAAAAAAAGATTGATTGATTACATGGAAAGAGTTGCTTGGCAACAATATAAAGGCACAGCAAGCAATTTCTTGGCATTCAGTTAAAAGAAAAAAAAGGCAGTGTCGTGCACCTCACATTTTGTGACCTGTATGACCTGGGCCTTCGGAGGCGACATGAATCGCTGAAACCAGTTGAAGTTTGTGGTTAAAGGTCAGGATCTCGTTGACTACTCTGTGACAGGAAAGTGCAGAGGGGGTGTGAGTACAACAGAGGACAACACTGTATTTGATTTGGAACTATGTTATATTTTTATCTTAAAATATTCAATGGCTTTAGGAATCATGGGAGAGTTACAAGATCAATATTGCAGTCACCTCTCTCTTCAGGCCAGCACACCAACTTCAAATGTTATTACTTGACTAAATCCTCATACAGTGTTTCATATGATAACCTACACGGGCTGCCCCTGACTAAGAATTTCCTAGTCGACCAATAGTCAACATTTAGGCCCATTAGTCGACTAGCTGCACGCATGTTTATGACATTAATTTGATTATTAAATTACATATTTTGGGCGGGGCAACACAATGGTTTGAGTTGAAGGTGTGAGAAAGAATAGTATCAGTAACATCGTTAACACTGTGCTACATTACAGAGAAATACAAACCGTACTAATGAACCTTCATTAATATAGGCCTATATTTTATCTCCAAGTGCACGTCACACACTGAGCGAGCCACCTGTTAATGACGCTGTGAGCTAATGGGCATGTAGCTACTTCCATGTTTCAGATGATACGTCATGTTTGTAGTCGACCAATAAAGATGAGTTTACATATCACCTTGGGTTCGTCCTTCACCTTCTCAAAATGATCCCACACTTTGGATTTCCTGCCCGACATGTTATTAACTAGCCTGTGGAATAACCGCAGGTACCAGCCCTGGAAATTAACCTGACTCCTGTCTGACTGCTGAGCATGGACACTTCCTGTGTCTGTCCTTTCAAATTAAAGTTCCACATTGTCCAGTCATAAAGGTTTGATTTATTTTTTTAAGGTGCAGCTCCTAATAGAGTTTTCACGTTTGTTGTTGTTGTTGTTTTCTGCAACTATGCGACCAATGAAATCTTGCCGACTAATGACATTTCTGTCAACTGTTACGGGGCAGCCCTATATCCTACATATTAGTAACCCATGAAGTACTTTACATATTAAATGTAAAGTTACAAAGGTTGGGCTTAGGCAAAGAAAGCCTCTGACGCTGTATCCAGTCCAAGCAGGCAGGTAGGGGTGGACAGATCAAACAAACACTGGACTTTTAACCAGGAGACTGTTGTTTATATCACGTGTGGAACCAAAAGTCAACGTTGACTGATTTCAACTGATGTATGTAAGTTTGTCAGCTGACATAACATCACATAACAAACATACTTATTCTAACCCAAACCATGGTCCTTTTCCGAACTGAACCACATAGTTTTTGTGCCTAAACCTTGCGAAACTGAAAGTGAAACCTGACGGAGCTGCTCCCGATAACGGCCTTCTGAACCCACAAGTAGGCGTAGCAGGCCCCGTCTAATCCATATCTATGATAACCTCTGATAACACCCATTAAATGAAGTGATAACCTTCTAAAGCCCAATATACACTGTGTGATTTTGGGCTGTCCCAGACGAAAGATGACCAACGTGAAAGAAACGTGGCGATATCTTTGGTCGTGGCTCTAAAACGTCGGTCCTACGTCACACAGTGAGAGAGGTTCAAGGATGGCCGTCATCCGGGTCTTGTAATCAAAGACAGCCTGGGATTAATTTTTGACAGTGTCACAAATTTGGGATGACCATCTCACTGTGTGACTGCTGTTACCACCTACATCAACAAACCAACCAATAGAAGCAGCTCGCCATTGGATGGCAAAACTCCCTAAAAGAAACGTGTGGGATTCCAGCAAAGAGGAAAACATTGTGAAGTTGTGGCAACAGAAGCCTTGCCTATATGATGTGTCCTCCATCTCTGACCGTGATCGAATAAAGAAGGACGAAGCATGGAAGGAAAAAGAGGCGGAGTTACAGCTGTCAGGTGAGCAACCTAGTAGCTAGCACACACACACACATGCAGACACACTGCAGTATATAGAGCCCACAAAACTTTAGGTTATTTAATAATGTGAGCCTCTATGTTGAAAGGACCTGTGTGGCATCCTTGCGCTCTAAGTATCGAAGCTATCGTACGTCATAGCGATTCAGTAGGCGCTGTCATAGTACAGTCTGCACACATCAAACTTGATGTTGTACCCAAGTTTAAAAGAACCATGTCGCACAGTGTAGCTGCACTAAAGTCTCTCAGTCTGTACGAGGCTTTAAGCAGGTGGTCACCATCAATCACAATGTGTTCCAAGAACTTGATACAGTTCTGCCCCCTTATTACCATAACTCCTGTTTAAACGCTGATGCCTGTGTAATCAGAGGGCCTGTCAAATTGTCAATCATCCGGAATCAACTCAATCCAATCACAGATGCTGAAATAGCACTGCCCATCACACACTGGAAGAGAAAAATAAACCAAAAACCTAGAAAAAACAGAGTGAGCAGGTAGGAGTCAGAGACAACAAAAGATCAATCAGTTTCTCATCACTGTGTGCAGCAGTGCTGTTGGTCGGAGGGATGGCTCTGTTTTTCCACTCGCTCTGACACACTGACACTGAAACGTTTCAGACTGAGACAGAACTGAAATGGAAAACGGTTGTCAAGGACAAATCTTGTTCTGATGCAGTTAAATTTCCTTTTTTCTTCAGTCAAGTTTTGCTGAACCATCTGAATCACATCACAGGGACGAAGTCAAAACTACAGAAACGCTGCACAGCTGATGGTACTTTTAACACAGAGTGGATCTAACAGGGGGACAAATAAACACACATGAACAGATATGGTGAAAGAGGAGGTCTTACTGGAATAGATTTTTGACTTGTCAAACGCAGCTGCAACTAATTGCACCAATTACGGCTTCATTTTATTCAGGTGTGCTCGTTCCAGTGTGTACACTGCTTCACTGCATGACTTACCAGTTCAGCTTAATGGACCAGAGCCATCACTGATGCTTCTACCACAAGTCAAACATTAACCCTTCAAAAACTGGAGCAACATCACTTTTCTTGGGCTGCTTTCAGACGCCTTTCACAAGTATTTAAACCTTTGAATCCCGAGTGAATAGGTGCAATTTCTTTACAAAATATGGGGGATAAAGGCAATGAGCAACTTGGTACGAAATATCCCACAAATTAAAAAAAAAGTGAAAATTATTTTAAAAAACAGGGAAAAAAGAAACAATATTTATAATAATTATTATACATACATTTTAAAATATTGCTCATATAGTCATATAGGTTTTATTTTGACATGGCGCAGCTCCTGATAGAGTTTCACATCTTCTACGACTAACAAAAATTAGCCTCCCATAAATGACGTTACCTACTCAATGTAAATTTACATACTTAATGTAAAGTTACAGAGGTGAGACTTCTTTCAGAAACATATGAAAAAAGGCAAGGAGCAACTTGGAAAGAATGCCACAGAAATTGCAATAAATAAATTAAAAAAATATTTTTTTTTTAAAAAATGTATTTAAAAAAATAGGTAAAAAATAAACTATATCAATAATTCTTACTATATTTCAAAATTATGTCACAGAATTATTATATTTTGTAAGCACTCTTGCATTTCCTTGTTCCTTGTTTAACTTTCTTTTCTTTTTTAAAAAAAACTTTATTATTATTATTTTATTTATAATCTATTGCTATTTTTGTGGGTAATTTCTTCTTGTTTTTAAAGGAAATCGGGTTTCAAAGGGTTAAAACAAGTGAAAGGTTGATCAAACATAACCTGGCTGTCAACACAAAATACAGTGAAGAGGTTCAATAATTTTGTGTGAGTAATAAATAGTCTTGACATAGCTGAGTTTGTCTGGGTGTTTGCAAATGAAGGAAACTATGCAAGACATTAGTGACAGTAACATGCGCACAACAGACAAAGCATGAACACAGATTATGTCACCAAAGAAAGATAAATGGTGGGTTTGTTTTACATGTATATAAAACTATGATAGTGACTGATAATAATGTTTTTACACTGCTTTAATATAAATGTATGTCTCTCTGTCTCACCAATGGTTGACACCACAGTTCCCACGAAGTAAAACGCGCCGGTGAAGTCCCATCGAGGTCTGATCGTGTCCACCCGGATCCCGGCCACGTTCGCCTCCTCGTAGTTCCTGAGGAAGTTGCTGAGGTCCTTCTTACTCAGGTTGTACTTCTGGCTGAAATGCTCAAACCTCTGCGCCCAGCGCTCCTTCGCCTCCCGCTCCTTCGGCTGCTCCAGCGCAGAGAACACTGCGGCCCCGCACAGCAGATAGATGATGATGAACAAAGCCAGCAGCAGGAACCTCGCGTTATCCTCGTTTATTGGACCGGAGCCGCAGCAGCAGCCGCTCCTACATGCCATTATGTTGCTGTGGTGCGGCTGCAGTGAGGGACCTGTGGCATGGTGGGCTCGAATAAAACGCGCAGTCCTCGGGAGGTATTTTTACGACAAGAAAGTCCTGCGCGACGCAAAGAAATTGTTATCCAGGCAGGTTGAGATCGAGTTGTTCCAAGGCTGTGGATTTGGCATTTTGCTCAGGAGCGTCTAAGTCAAAGCCAAACGCGTCTTCTAACGACTTCTCAGTCCGTCTCCACCGGCTGCACCTGTCGGGTCTGGGCTGCCAAGATGCTCAGAGGAGAGGAAAGAGCCGCGCGGCAACCTGTGGCTGCACAGAGTCGCCCTGTCGTGCTCTCTGGTCCTGCCTCTCCAAAGAAGTCTCCACCCCTGAGCGCGCGTTTTACGCACCGCGGATTGACCACCAACACAGAGCTGAACCTACATCCTCTGCCCATTCATCCAGTCTGTTTGATCAGATCTGATCAAATCCAGCTGTAATTTCCCCACTTCAGGCACCAGAGTCACACAATGGGTCCTGGCCTGAAAATGTTCCACCTGAAACCAACTTTGGAGGTTTGATTCTGACAATATAGAGCGCGTTTGCATAGTGAGATCAATATGACTTGACCTTTCCGGGCTCTGGTGAGGGATTCATGCTCCTGCCCGCGCTTACCCGGGGACGATTTGAGCAAATGTCACAACGGAACGACGGTTGGAGATAAATTATTCAGCATCACAGGGACAACAAACGAGCTATTTCTGTAAAACTGGGAATTTAACAACATCGTGACGCGTCCGAAACACGATCAGAGCAGCAGCTCTTTTGGGTCACACTAAGTTGTCTCCATGTAAAGTTACAGCATGTTTAACATCAGACATGAGGGGTGACTACAGGGGCGTAACTTTCATTTCAACAGTGTGGGGGACACATATGAAAGGTGGGGGTCCGCCACCATTTTGAGCATCAAACACTTTTTATGCACCAATTTGTGCATCAATTTATTTTGTCAAAATAAAAGTCCATTGTTACTTTTATGTTTTTAGTGGGGGAGGCAAATATCAGTAGGGACATGTCCCCCGCATCCAGCTTACCAACTTTACTATGAGACAGGGGTACTAGGGCAGAGCGGGGCACAACATAAAACATTTTAGTTTAGGCTAAATGTGCACTTCTTGGAGCAGCTGTAGCAGAAGTGAAATGTTACCCAATGGGTGGGGTTAATTGACAGAGGGGTCTACAGTCTGTGTTTGAAGGATATATCCAGGATGTCAAACTGACTCAGCAGCAACAACAGGTTAAAAAGACAAAGATAGTTAGAAGCTAAAGCCGAACTACAGGCTACAGATCACAGTGTAAAAGTGAACCACCACATCACTGCTGATCGCCACACAAGACAATGAATATAAAGGGAAACTTTGCTGATATTGAACCAGCTGTGTGGCATCGCAGTGTGTGCAGATGAACGGTGTTTGGCTTCGCCCCCCTGCTGCTGCCAGCAGCTGGACCTCCGCCACCGGATGGGCAAGGATCTCCAGTCAAACTACGTTCACCTGCACACACTGCGATGACACACAGCTGGTTGAATATCAGCAAAGTTGCCCTGCTTCCCTTCACTGGTTCCTGTACAGCAGGGTCGGTCTTTGTTTCACTGTTATAATCATTAAAAAGCAAAAGCAGTTTGTGTATACATTCAGTAGGCTTTATCTTCAGTAGCTAGCTAGCTAACCCTACACTTTTCAGGGTCTGATTTTGGTTTTGTAACAGGGAAGAAACGTATACCTTTTTCCAACCTCTCCAGGTAACAAGTATCATTAATATACGACGTGCCCCAGACACAACATTTAGCTCCAAATCCACAAAACCAGCCTGAAAATGAAGGAAATCTGAAACAACTGCATTAGAGTCAATGGAGCAGCTGTGTTGTTGTCGGACACTGGTCTGAGCCGGCCCAATGCTGCTTTATGATTGGCCAGTCTGCATCTGGGGACAGGATTTAACGAGGGGTTAGTTGTAACACTTGCTGGAAAAGTCTGTCTAACACAATTAATTCAATACAATTCAGTCTATATACCATAGGCTGATACTGTTTATGGATCTATCTGTGATACATATCCAAATATCTGCACATACCTCATCTAACCACTAATGCTTCATGAATGGAAAGATCAACATAGAGAGGGATACACAGTCTGTGTGGAAATATATTTCTCGATAGCTTGATGGATAGATGTATAGATACCTATCTCTCCATCTACATCAGGGGAAGGACAGATCTCCATCATTTAGTCTATCATCCATATTCAATGGCTGGAGCGATAGAAGTACACAGATTGGTAGAGAGCACAGTGCGACTTGTTTGGGACTTGAAACTTGAAGCTTAGGACTTGGAACTGGACCATCTTGACTTGGGCCTTGAGTGCAAACACTTGAGACTTACTTGTGGCTTACACTTGTGAAATTATTTCTAAAGAACAAAGTACTCACTTTGCTCATTCACTTTCAGTTATTATCATTTTTTACTCTTGAATATCCTCCTGAGACCTGAACTTCTGTTTAGTGTGCTTTTTTAATTTCTCCTAGTTACATGGGATCAGTCGGATCTGATAAGTATAGAAAACTAAACACTGTCAACAATAATTTGACCTGGCGTTTGGGCAGTTACTTGCGGCATCAGAAACCAAAGAAAAGAGGCGTCCTTTCACATCGGCATGATATGCAGCCTGTTGCTGTTATAGTTTGACAGCGCCCGGTGGCATCAGGGGAAAATGCAGCGAGACAAGGACTGTTCTGTTCTTTTTTCCACGCAGGGTGCACCTGTGCATCACATCATAGATTTCTAAGCATGTAGTAAAGCAGCATTTTGTGGTCAAGCTAATGTATTCATGCACTGTCATAATTCAAAACAATAATGGATTTCTTAAGAAGTACATTTCCGTAAGATGAAGTTACGGCGAATGGTAAATATCATCATTAGAAACCATGTTAAATACAGTATTAACATGCAGTAATGGAAGATATAATTGTATTTATGCCTTACTGAACAACATTATGTCATGAAATTATACTCTCCAAGGACAGGAGGTTGATCAATAGAGGTAATTTTCAGTGTCCTGTATCTGGAATTGTTCGACATCATAACAAGCACCTGCGTTTGAACAGAAGCTCATCAGCTGGGACTGATTGCTTCTGGCTGTGGTTACAGCATCACAAGAGGGCAGGGAAATTGTTTTTAAATTGAACATATATCTAAGCAGATGGTTTTAACTGTACGTGGCAAAGGTCCAATCTTTCTCAACCATTAAAGCATCAAAATGTTGCTTTGTAAATAAAATTCTAAGGCAGCAAGAATCCCCTTTACAAATGCAGAGCATGAAGGATGGTGGTTATACATAAGGAAGGTTAGGATTATACAAAGCAGGACAATGACCCCAAACACACCTCCAGGCTGTGTAAGGGCTATTTGACCAAGAAGGAGAGTGATGGAGTGCTGCGGCAGATGACCTGGCTTCCACAGTCACCGGACCTGAACCCAATCGAGATGGTTTGGGGTGAGCTGGACCGCAGAGTGAAGGCAAAGGGGCCAACAAGTGCTAAACACCTCTGGGAACTCCTTCAAGACTGTTGGAAAACCATTTCAGGTGACTACCTCTTGAAGCTCATGGAGAGAATGCCAAGAGTGTGCAAAGCAGTAATCAGAGCAAAGGGTGGCTATTTTGAAGAAACTAGAATATAAAACATGTTTTCAGTTATTTCACCTTTTTTTGTTAAGTACATAACTCCACATGTGTTCATTCATAGTTTTGATGCCTTCAGTGAGAATCTACAATGTAAATAGTCATGAAAATAAAGAAAACGCATTGAATGAGAAGGTGTGTCCAAACTTTTGGCCTGTACTGTATGTTAGAGTGAAAACAAGTGCATGTTAGAAGGAGTTATTATTGTGATTAAAGAAGCAATTCAATAACACAGAAACACCTGAAAACATTACCGCAGTGAGAGTTAACAATCTGAATTGTATTTACTGTGTACATGACCCAGTTCATGATAACAAGAATCTATAGTCCGGGTCAAATCTATACCACTTGGCAAAGTATTGATATTTCACTGGCAATTATTTGGAGATTAGTGTTGATTGCAGTGTTGATTCTCTTCTCTTAGCAACTGCTCTGGTCTGGAGTGGCTGTTAGAAGCTATCAAAGAGTGATAAATAAACTCTTATGTGAGCAGGACGCTGAGATAAAATACAAACAGTGTTGATTTTCTCTGGTTTCTCAGCGTGAGAGATCTGATAATTCTGTTTTCAGTCGTTCAGGAGTTCATGTTAGTGAGTGTGTTACAGTCATCACATACTCTACTGTACTATTTTTCACTATGCCATACCATACTACATCAAACCACACTATACCTTACTGTTCTATACTATACTATACTATACTATATCAAACCATACTATACTATACTATACTATATCAAACTATACTATACTATACTATAATGTACTGTACTGTACTGTACTATATCAATCCACACTATACTATACTATACTATACTATACTAAACTGTGCTACACTGTGCTACACTGTTTTTTACTACACCTGTGAGCAGGATGTGAGTTAGAAGAGAAGGAGAAATTCTGGAGTGGGTTAGATGAAGTGATGCAGAATATCCCTGGAGGTGAGAGATTGGTGATTGGTGTAGACTTCAATGGACATGTCGGGGCAGGGAACAGAGGGGATGAGGGAGTGATTGGCAGGTTTGGTATCCAGGATAGTAATGCAGAAGGACAGATGGTGGTAGACTTTGCAAAAAGGATGGAAATGGCTGTGGTGAATGCTTTCTTCCAGAGGAGGCAGGAACATAGGGTGACTTAAAAGAGCAGCGGTAGAGCACACAAGTGGACTACATCTTGTGTAGATGATGTAATCTGAAGGAGATCAGTGACTGCAAGGTCGTGGTAGGTGAGAGTATAGACAGACAGCATAGGATGGTGGTGTGTAGGATGACTCTGATGGTGAGGAAGATGAAGAGAACAAAAGGCCCGTTTCCACTGAAGAAGTTCCTGGTACTATTTGGGGTGCAGGAACTACTACAGGAATGTCCTCTCGCTCGTCCCTCTCAACCGCCATGCCTCCACTGAGAGGGCAGAGTATAAGGAAGGTTCCTGTAAAGTTACCGGACTCTGGATGTGATGTAATCATTGCACGACCATTTTGACCGGGGCGACGTGGCAAAGAAACAAACAATGAAGTCGCTTACTGTTGACGTCACATCCCGCCTTGAGTATATCCAATCAGCACCATGTAAATCCCAAGCCCCACCCAGGAGTTTTTTGGGGCCGTTCTGAGGGACTTGTTTAGCCCCTGTAAAAGTTCCGGAACTCTGTCCTTCGGGGGTGGTTCCTGCGGTGGAGACATGCACCAACGGCCCCGGCCCTGT